ATAGGGTGTTAAAAAATAAATAGAAGGACCACATGAATAAAGCCATTCTGCAAGGCCAGCACCATGCATCACGGACAGAGTCTGCTCTAAATCAAGACAGCCTGGGCCAGTCCGGACAGCAGGCCCCTAGCAGTGGGGCCTGCATTGTCCCCGTAATCCTGCATAGGCGCTGGAACAATGGCCCGGGTGTTCTGTCCCCGGCACCAGCCGGGCTCTTCTGTGCGGCAGGCGACAGGCGGGGTGGGGCGGCCAGGCATGCTGTCCATCCGGCAGAGCCCCCCTCCCTCCGCAATGGACCCTGGTCCGGGTGTCACCACTGTCCAGCCCGCCTTGCCTGGAAGCCCATCTTGATTGTCTTGCTTTCCCCTGGTCATGGACCCATCTCAGTTTCTCAGCCTGGCACAGAGCACAGCCTAGAGACCCACGGTCAAAGCTTCTGACTTTGAACTCCTCTGAGCTCCAGGCTGGATCTGCTGCTCGTGAGCCGGGGCTTTGGGGCAAGTCCTAGCAGTGCCCCAGGCCTCAGTTTCCCCATCTGCTAATGCACCTGACAGCAGGCCCGGGGGAGGGATGAACCGGCTGACATCGGCAGCGACAAGGGTGAGCAAGGCCGGGACCTCTGGTGGTGCTGACAGTGGGGACTCCAGTCCAAGCCATGTGCAGGCCAATGAGGCCACGTGGCTCGACCACAGACTTATCTCCTAAGGAAATAATGCAAAATGAAGATGGAGAGCCAGGCCTCAAGGTCTTGTTGAAAAGGGGAAGCCGGGGGGCTCTTGGGTGGCTCAGATGGTTAAGCATCTGCCTTCAGCTCAGGTCGTGATCTCAGGGTCCTGGGATCGAGCCCCGCATCGGGCTCCCTGCTCAGCGGGGAGTCTGTTTCCCCCACTCTGCTGCACCCCCTGCTTGTGTTCTCGCTCTCTGTCAAATAAATAAAACTTAAAAAAGCAAAGCAAAGAAAAAGGGGAAGCTGGGAATAATAGTTGCTATCACGTCCAGGTCCTTACCGGACGTGGTTCCAAGCACCTCCCTCTATTTGCTCAACTGTGAGAGGCAGACACTGCGTTATCCCTGTTTTGGACTTCAGAAGACTGAGGCCCAGAGAAGGTAAGCAACATACCCAAGGTGGCCAGCAAGTGCTGTAGCTGGAAGGTGAGCCCAGGCCAGCCGACTCTAAGAGCTGCCCTCCCGCCCACAGCACCGCAGCGCCCCTCCCCCGACGAAGTAAGCCGAGGCTCCTTTAAAGGAACGTCGCCCTAGACAAAAGCACCACATTTTTGAAATGAAAACGTTTCCGAGTGTGTCAAAACGGAACATGACATAGCAAGTCAACCCACTCTACTCTTCATTTCATAGATAAGGAAACTACAGCCCAGGAAGGGAGAGCGACTTGGCCATGGCCAGGCAGTGGGGGCATGAAGACTGGTCTTTTCGGATTCTAGTGTCTCTTACGTCCATTTCTATCGACTACATTTCATGCAAGGTACCAGGATATGGGTCTATTGCTTCATTACAATAAAACCCGGGGGTTTATTGGCAATCTGACAGTCAACCCACTTCTTCTTCACGTGGAAATCATGGCAAGAGGCAGGTGGAGAAGTGCTATGGGCCACAGTCCACAGGATCCAGAATGGCCCAACTGGAAGGTCCCTTAGAGAACATCTGTTCTGAGTCCCTATGAAACAGAGGGGAAACTGGCAGGTGCACCAGGCTCAGCATGATTTTAATGACTGTGGAAAGACACCAGTGCGCCGGCGTAATTGACCGTTTGTAACAAATGGGTAGATTTGCAACTGTAGCATACACATGAGCTATCGGGATAGCTTCGGATAATAAAACCTTTTATTTATTTATTTATTAAAAAGATTTTATTTATTTGACAGAGATCACAAGTAGGCAGAGAGGCAGGCAGAGAGAAAGAGGGAGAAGAAGGCTCCTTGCTGAGCAGAGAGCCCGATTCGGGGATCGATCCCAGGACCCTAAGATCATGACCTGAGCTAAAGGCAGAGGCTTAACCCACTGAGCCACCCAGCTGCCCCAATAAATAAACCCCCTTTTTTTTAAAAAGATTTTATTTATTTATTTGACACAGAGAGAGAGATCACAAGTAGGCAGAGAGGCAGGCCGAGAGAGAGGAGGAAGCAGGCTCCCCGCTGAGCAGAGAGCCCGATGCGGGGCTCGATCCCAGGACCCTGAGATCATGACCTGAGCTGAAGGCAGCGGCTTAACCCACTGAGCCACCCAGGCGCCCCTAAATAAACCCTTTTAAATGCAGAAGTGACAAAGGCAAAAGGTAAAGGTCAAAAACGTCTCACTGCACTTGCAGTTCGAGAGGGCATCCAAGCTCCCCTACCCCAGTGGACATGGGTGACTTTCCCTTTCTATCTACCAGCATCCCTTTCACACCTGGGAACATGCCTGAGCTGCCAATCATGAAGCCCCGCCTCCCTGCCCACGGGATGTGCATGTGACCTAAGTTGAGCCAATCAGGGTCCTTTTAAGGGAATGACAGACACCAAGGGCTCCCTCTTCCTCCCGATCAATACCCAGAAGAACCGCCACAGCTGGACGGTTGCTGCTGTACAGAGGCCACTGAAGCCAGACCCAAAGAAAAGAGAGATGAGAGGAAGCTACTGCTGGAACCCTGGATCCAGCCACACCTAAAGTCCGGAAACCGTGCGCTTCCCAGTTTAGAAAGCCACTCAATTCCCCTTTTTTGCTTCAAGGTCTTTGAGCATTCGGACAAATGGATGATAACCAACAGTCCCCAGTGAAACTTCACACCAAAGAATTCTATTTCCCAAGATCAGCCTCTGTCCCCGGCTCGCTCAACCAAACTGAGCCGAGTTCTAGACCTGAAAGGAACTCTGCAGCCTGCTCGTGGGATGGGGTTTCCTTTGGAGGTGAACGTAAACGTTCTGGAACTAGATAGGGATGGTGGTTGCCCAACACTGTGACTGTGCTTTAACACCACTGAGTCATACGCTTGAAAATGGGGAAAATGAGCAATTTTATGTCACTGCATTTTACCATAATGTTTTAAATGGGAAGACAAAAGGAGACCGGCAAGATTTAAAAGACCGTCCTACTGGCGAGCGCTCTCTCCCCACACGCCCCCCCTTCCCTGCTGGCCACGAAGGCGCAGGTCCAGGTTGGCCAGCGGGAAGAGGAATGCGCATGGAAGGTGGCATTCAGCAGGAGACCTTTGGCCCTGAAACAGGCACTTGGGTATTTCTCATTCTGCTCCCACAAAGGAGAACCCTGAAAGCTGGGTAACCATTAAACCCAAAACGGACCTGGAGAAAAACAGCCTGTGGGGCTGAGTAGGGGGCTCTCCAGAACCGGGGTGTTAGCCAGTGACGCTGGGGAGGATGGGAACTCCATGACATTTATGAAATAAACACTTACTGTCTCCCAGACCTGGTGCTAACCTGCTCAGAGAAGACCAGCTGATAACTCAGACCTTTTTAAAAATGATTTTCGTACCTGTGGACTCTGGGAACCCCACCTCCTGAAAACGTATCCTAAAGAAATAATTCAGTGGGAAAGACAAAGGAGCTGCATTTATTAAAATGTTGGTTGGAACATTACTTATAAAAATAAAAACTGGAAGCAGCCCAAAAAGCCAACAACAGGGGAACACTGAGTACATTACTGTGCACCAGTACACCGAACCGCACACTCAGCCACCAGAAAAATGCTCGTGACAAAGACTGCAGCAGCATCATTTATGAAATTACATCGGTGGGGGCGGGGGGGTGGTGCCCACCTAGAGTGTGATTTTCGGGCTGAGATGCGCAGGGGTCAGGGGAGCTTGCCTCCAGAGCTGGCAGGAAGAATGGAAAAGACATGCCACGATAATGCAAGGATGGGAATTCTTTTTTCTTTCCTAACATGATTTTTTAAGCCCAAGTTTTATTTGTGGGATAATTTTAGACCTACGGAAAAGCTGCAGGAGGGATGTAGGGGAGTTCCCACACACCCCACACTCCATGTGCATGTTGGCTAACATCGGACGTTCCTGCGCTAAGCTGGCACAATAGAGAAGCTGACCCAGAAACGTTACCATTAACTAAACTCCAGACCTGGTTCCGATTTCACCAGTTTTTCTGTTCCAGGATCCAATCCACGATACCACGAACCATACGACCTATTTTTGTGTTTGTTCTGTTTTTGGTTCTTACAATTCAGTGGCTTTTCACATAGTCTCAGATCTGTGCAACCATCACCACACTCAACTGAAGAATATCTCTATCTGCTCAGAAAGCAAGCCCATATCACATTCTGATCATGGGCTGTGAGAAACCCTTTTGCAAAAGGAAGAACCCTTTGGAAGGAGAGAACTCTTCCTCACCTCCCTTCCTTATCTTTCTGGAAATCAGACTTTCTCTTTTCAGTGGGACCCCAAACCCTCACCCCACATGAACCATCTCGGACGTTTCTGATGGTATCAATTTTGGTTACATCCAGACCAGAGAAGCACCTGGCAAGAGAGCCCTCCACGTAAAACTTAGGAAACTCAGGGGCAAAACCCCTCTTCCTACTAACCTAGCAAGGGCTGGGGAGTACAGGTGTTTTTACTAGCACCCATCGTGTGCTAGACCCTGGTTAGAGGACATGCACGAAGTCTCCCGTTGTGTCCTCACGGCCACCACTGGAAGTCAGCCACCGTCACCCATCATCCAAGTAGGCAGTGGCCACCACCTTGGTCATCCTTCCAGCTCCCTTCTTCACGAATCACCTCCCCCATCCTAGAGGTAGGCCCTCAGCAGCCGCGTTTCCATTATGTGGTGGTCACGATCACAAACCCAGCTATAGCCCCCTGCCCGCACCCCACCAACAACCCTGGGAACATGTCCTTAGTGGCTCTGGGGATCCAGAGATGTGGTGTGGCTTGCTTTCCATCCTAGGAACTCAACCCAGCCCACCCCGTCCCTGGGGATGGTGATCTTGGTGGGATGTGACCCGCCCAGACCCAGAAAGGACCCAAGACCACTAACCTGCACAACCTCCTTCACCAGGGTCTTGTCCGTACCGGTTTTGGCTCGCTGCAGCCCGCTGACGTTCTCGCCGATCCACGTGATGAGGGCGAACTTGGACCTCTTGCTCATGGCATCCCCCGTGGTGAAGCGCACGAAGGCAAACAACCGGACGTCATCTGTCATCAACAGCAAAAACAGGGCACCGTGCTCAGTGAGAACATTCCCAGACTTCGCTCCCAAGGAGGAGCCATGAGCCAGAATGCTCCCAGAGCAGCGCGGCAGGAGCCCAACACTGACCTTGGTCAACATCCCCTCATGCAATCCTGCGACGGCACCCCAGGCTCCGAGGCCCATTGCACAGCTGGGAGCGGAGGGGCACAAGTGACATTCCCGAGGCCACGTGGACATTTCAAGGCCATGGTGGTATGGGAACACAGCCCTCAATGGCCATTAACCCTGAGCTCCCCACCCCCAATCCCTCACGTGGTCAAGGAAGGCTCAGATTCTGGGTCTGATTTATCAAGACCTTCCTCAGGTCTTCTTATCCCCCGAGGTGCTGCTCGGAATGGGAACCGAGATGGGGGGTGGATGGTGGGGGGACAAGGTGGCCCTGATCTTGGCATGGGATATGTCTCTAGGACCACTGGGCATGTCTAGCTCGTGGCTGGATGGTTAGCGCAATGAAGAATGCTGAGTATGGTTCCGTTGGGTGTGTCCTGCTAGTTACATGTTACAGATCTGTTGTTATTAAAAGGCCTTGGGTGGGGGGGTTGTCCCACTGGTCCACATCCATCCATCTTTTGTTTCATTACCACGCTTTTTTCCATTATTGTCCCTTCCGATGGCCCATTATAAAATATTATAAAAATATTGGCGACAGTCTTGAGATTTTAGGTGACCCTGCAGAGTGTGCGTTTCCCATAGGATGGGCTAGGGTTTCTCCGCCTCAGCACTCCTGATTCTTGGGGCTGGACCACTCTTAGTGGTCGCGACTAGCCCTTTCAAGGCACGGTTCCTGAACAGCATCCCTGGGCCCCGCCCACTGGAGACCAGTATCAGCCCCCCATCCCAGTTACAACAACCAAAAATGTGGCCAGACATATCCCCGCGTCCTCTCGGAGGGGGAACTGCCCCCAGCTGAGAATGAACTTCTGGGTAGTTTGTGTCCCCATCGAATCAAGACCCTCTGCATTTTCCACCAACATTTTGTGCTCAGCTTAGTTCCTAAATAGTCCGTATTTTAATTGCCATTATCGGAGAGAGCTCATCATTGTCCCTAATGGGAGATGGTTGCCCAGTACCAGCTTTGGGCTGTTCACCTCTGGCTAGCTGCTCGGCTCAGCTCTTCTGTTCTCAAAGGGCTTCTAGCTACTGCCTTTAGGATTTCTCAAGTCCCCAAAGAGAGTGGAGAGCTGTGCTGCACAAGCATCTGTGTGTGTCTCTGAATCACTTGGGAATCTCCCCAAAATGCACATTCAGAGCTCACAGATCTCGGATGGGCTCCTGGGTGACGCTGATCTGTGAGTCCAAGGACCACATGGGGGCTTCTCTGTGTATTTTCTTTTTTTAAATCAAGGCATCTTCCTCAGACTTCTCAGGTGCCTCCCTGCTGAACCCCACAGAGCGTACAGGTTTACAGAAAGACCCAAGGCCCCACACCCTCTGAGTGTAAGGAAGACCATCTAAAGCTGGTTAAGGTCGCTGCCTGGCTGGGAACAGCAGAGCCTGAGCAAATCCTGGCCTATGAACCATGCCGTCTCATGGGCACCCGAGGGAGCCAAGGAACACAGCTCTCCACCAGTCCCAGGCTCCTGATTTGGTCCCTGCGGTCCAGGCCAGGCAGCTCCACGGCACTGATGTCTTAAAGGGAACGGATCACAATCACCAGTCACAGTTCATAAAACACACTGATACTTCACGGTCTCAGGTTGGCTTTATAATGATGCTGTGAGGTGGGCCACAGGGGAGGGGACACTGCTGTCATCTTCATCAACAGGCACTTCATTGTGTTACAGATATGGCTCAGAAGTCATGGGATGGGGCCAAGGTGACTCATGACAATAAGCCTGGGTGGCCTGGGTGTGTCTGCCCGGCCAAAGGAGTCTGGCGGATACCCACTGTGGGACTGGACCATGGGGTCAGTGGGGACAGAGAAGGACAGTCGCAGGGATGTTTCACAGGCCAAATCAACAGGGCTTGGTGGCAGACTGGCCACGGGAGGGAAGGAAGCAGAAGTCCGGGGACTCCCAAACAGGGTGAGGGCTCCAGCTCTTATCCTCAAGGACTTGGACTTAATCCCCAAGCACTGAGCCTCAGCTGCCTCGTCTGTAAAATGGGGTGATCTTTTTTGGTCCATCCTTTCCTTTTCTTAAAAAAGAGGTCACAGTAAAAGGTTAAAGCCACAGAACAGAAGGCTCATCCTTGTAACTACTTTACAGGGTACAATTCCGCGGCCTCTAGTACACTCACGATGCTTTGCGACCCAACCACTACCCATGACAGTCCTTCCCCTGCCCCTCCGCCCAGCCCGAAGCAACACAAATCTGCCTTTCGCCTCTGGATCTGCCTACTCGGGACATCTCATGTAGACAGACGCCCACGATCTGTGGCCTTCTTTCACTCAGCACATTGGTGTCATTGGTGCCCCCTTTACGGCTGAAGAATACTCTCGGGTATGGGCACGCCCCCTTCTGCTCATCCATGCACCTGCTGAGGCACATCTGGGAGGTTTCCCGGTTGGCGTGATTCTGCACCTCCCTCGTCAGTCACAAGGATTAAATAGGAACACTGTGCACCCAACCCGCCCGGCCACGGTGAGAACGCCTCCGTGAGGCTGCGGCCACGGGACGGAGCTGCCAGGTGGGTGGCAGGATGGGGGAACTGAACGTACGCAGCCACGCGTGGCTGGTGCAGCCTTGGGGGGAAGCCCCCCCTTCCCCCAGTTCCGGAGCTGCACATGGGAAGCCAGCACGCTCCTCTGAGCAGCCGCACGGCCGTGGTAGAGGAAACCCAGACGCCGTGGCAGGGTGTTTAATGAAATTGCTGCCTTGATCAGAGAGGGAGGCAGGGCTGCACGCTGGGAGCCTCCCGGCTTGCTCATGCCAAGGCAGCCTGTTTCCATGGGAACCACTCTGTCTCCCATCCCCACGCTGGAAGCCTGGAGGCTTGGGTGCCTGTCGGCAGCTGGATCCCCAGCGCCCCATCACTGGCCAAAGCCTCCACGTGGGGAAGTTCCAAGCTGTGTGTCCCACGTACCAGCCCAGGACCAGGCATGAGATAGACGCACAAGAAGTGAGTCCCGCCACCCCCACCCCCCCAACCAAGGGCACGGGGAACTTGGCGGCAGCGGACCTGCCCCAATGTCATTTACATTCTACTGACAGGAGGGACGGGTTTTCCTAGGTGGCTGCTGGGCGCTTAGCTGACAATGCTGTGGCCAAGATGATTGCTGACATTTTTGAAAATCCAAGAGTCATGTTATGCTTACAGATGTGTACAGCCCCAGACGGGGAAAAGTCAGCTGAGTCTGCAAGGGAAAGCGGGTTTGTCGGAGCGACATTGTTGGAGCTGCCCACACGACCCGAAGCCTCTCTCCCCCACTCACCCTGAAGGAGGCTCGAGCCTGCTCTGACCTCCAGATGGCTGGTGCAGGGGGAAGTTTTGGTTCTTAGTCATGAGTTGGGCCACCTTCCTACTTCTGGACAAACGGGGCTGACAAAACACACGTGTGCAGCATCTGAGTGGAGAACAGCCCCCCCCTTTTCTCCTGCGGGCACCCCGCTCACTCACAGGAAAACGTGGGTGTACCACCAGAAAGGCAGAGCAAAGCCGCATCGTATACGGGGAGAACGCGTGAGTGTGCACTTGCACGCATGTGTGCCTGGATGTGTGTGCACGCCCCTGTGTGTGTGTGCACTATGATGGCAGCTGGCCAGGAGGGCGTGGGGACTGGGGACGCCTGTCACCCTCATGGTGCTGCTCGGTCCCCAGAGGGCCCGCGGCACATCTTTCCAGCCCAAGGCTCCGGAGCTGGGGCTGCAGCTCTGGGTAACCCCCGTGGGGGGAGCTGGGCCCAGGCCTCTGCACAGCCGTCTACACCAGCTGCTGCCTCAGCTAGTCCCCCTCTGCCTTTTGCTCCCCAGCACCCAGGCTGACAGGCCAAGCTCTGGAATCCATTAGAAGCACCCCCACCTTCACGCCAGCTCCGTGACCTGGACCAGATGCACGCAGAGCTCTAAACCTCCCCGTCCCTAAAGCACAGTCCAGAGGCAGAGGTAAGGATTACAGGAAAGGGGATCTGTGCCGGGCGTGGCTCCTGGGTCCTCACCTCTCTGCTGAAACTGCCCCAGGCGGGGGCCTCAGTGCCTCCAAGCCCTGCCAGCCCCAACCGTGGCCTCCCCGCTTCTCCCTCTACTTGGGCTTTCTGCACCCACCACACTTATGCTCGCTCCTCTGCATTTAAAAGCAGGGGCAGGCACACAGGCATTGGCCACTGTTCGTGAGCACTGCTCTGGGAGCACTGCTCAAGGACCTACTAGGTGCCAAGCACAATGCTAAGCACTGGGGTGGGCAGATTAGACAAACAAGGGTCCTGAGGATAACAGAAGCCATTTACTGAGCGCTGACAACATGCCAGGCACCGCTCTAAGTGCATACATCTGTTGGCACATTTCTCTACCCCAAGACTGTTTCCGTGTGGTCGACACTGCTCCCACGCCCATTTTCCAGCTAAAAAAACTGAGGCTCAGAATGCGGATGCAGTCAGCAGCCAGAACCCACTTTCCCTGCCCGTTGGAGCACTGTTCCCAGGGGAGGGCCCCCTGGAACCAGCAGCGTCAGCAGCCCCCAGGAAACCATGGGACCGTGGCTGCTGGGGGTCCAGACCAGACTTGCTGATTCACCAGCTCTGGGAGGACGCGCCCCTGGGGGACTCTGGTGCCTCCAAAGCCTGAGAAGCACTGATCTAGAGAAAGCGGGGAAGGGAGGAGAGCCCACACCAGCCCTGGCAGGGGAGGGGTGAAACGGAAGTTCTCAAGGGCAGAGAAGCTGAAGCGCCCTGAGTTCAGCCCCACCCCCTTCCTTCCCACCCACACTTCTTTTAGTTTGAGGAAGTGATCGTGAAAAGGAGCTTCCTGTATGGCCTGGCTTCTCCACATCCAGAATTTACAGACTTAGA